ATATATTTATTATTTTTTCTTTGTTGTAGGAGAAAAACTTTACCAAAAGTGTTGATATATTTATTATTTTTTCTTTGTTGTAGGAGAAAAACTTTACCAGAAAAAAGGACGCCAATTAAAAAAAAGTTACCAACAGATGGTTTTCGAGCAATTATGAGATGTGAACATAATGAGATTCCAACCGGATAATGGGCTAATAACTTTAGCTCATACCTTGGATGCTTGATACGGGGGAGTGATAATGTGAATCCTTATTACGAGGCTGAGGAGCAGCCATTTCATGTCCTGCAGAGTATATATCGAGATTGTTGGGTAAATTCTTCTATTTAGCATAATTATTTTTCAATTCTGTCAATTGTCCATGCTGAACTATATGTTAATTTTTAGAGATATTTCAACATCGAAGACAATCCCGTAGGGTGGGAATTTTTATTTGGATACATGGGAAAGTTTAAGCATTCTCTTCGGGAGTGGAGACATGAGATAAAGAAGAAATACTTTGATTGTTTCACTCACAACTGGGAGAGGATATACAAACAATATAAGAGGGTTGAGCCTGAGTACTTGGCTGCACTTATAGTATTGTGGGGCCAAAAGGAGCACCAGGTAAATATGTATAGTAGTTAATTATCATCAAATTATTTATCTGAAACTAGTGATATATTTCATTGTATATTATAGATTGTACTAAAATTCTCTTTGTTCATATTGAAGAAAAAATATCAGAGAAATAAATTAAATTGATGGAAAAGATTATGATCATCACGGGGATTACTTCATTTGCCCAGATTAAGGATCAATTTTGTAGGACAATGGTATAAAGTCTTTTAATCTTCTATATATATATTCTCTCCGCTTCCTAGAATATTTGATAAATAAAACTAATAAATATATTTTTAAATCTCAGAATGCTTCATTTATCCCTCTACCAGAACTGCACAGGAGGACGATGATTCACTTTAGGAAGGGGTACGATGACGATGAGAATAAGAAACAAAAGGTAGAATTGGCCAAAAAAATACAGGTTAACTAATTATCTTAGCTCTTATTAGCCAGTTCTTTTGTTGGGAATTTATTGTTTGCAAAAAATACAGGTTAACTAATTATCTTAGCTCTTATTAGCCAGTTCTTTTGTTGGGAATTTATTGTTTGCACTCTTCTTTTGGTCATCTTAATTCTTAGCTCTTATTAGCCAGTTCTTTTGTTGGGAATTTATTGTTTGCACTCTTCTTTTGGTCATCTTAATTGCCCATAAACCCTTCTTCACATGTAGTACTTGTTTGTTCCACAAAACACTCTTCAACCATTTATTAGCACTTAGCCCCCTCAATTGTGGAACTACTTCATCTTTTATTTTACTTGTTCAGGTAAACATATCTTTTATTTTTAAAAGGCCAATTCTTAAATTTATTTTTTTGTCTTTTAGGAAGCTCTGGAAAACACATATGCTAAGGTTATTGCACAGAGCCAGGAGCCTCTGACTAGAGAGCATAATTATAATGTGAGCCATTTAGTTTGTGGACTTCCCAAAAAGGGGAGGACTAGGTGGATGGGAGTTGGAGCTCAGAGGGTGTCTACACCATTCCAGCCTCCGTTGATTTCAACACCATCGACTTTGCCCTCGGGACCCTCTTACATGCCGCAGGAAGATTGCACTCAGCAGGCGATGCAGCTTGTTTCCTATATGATGAATATGTTAGATGGTCAGGTTCCCAAGGAGATGTGGGAGTATATTCAAGAGGAACTTATGCGAGTGATCCACCCTACTGCTACTTTTATGATGGTTTCCAGGCAAATAATGAAATCTTGTAGAAGACGGGTTTCTACTCGGGTGAAAAGCCAGATTATGAAATTTTTGGCCACTCAAAAGACATTTACTGGTAGTGGAGAGAGTAGCAGACATGTATACTTATTAGATATGTAAAACATGATTACACACAATATTATGTGATTCTAAATTTAAATTATTTTGTTATTAGAGTGGAGATGATGCTATTGGGAGCACGAGTCGTAGGGATGGTGCCGTCAGTGGCAACGCGGACGATGACATGGATAGGGCGGATGACCTATCTTAGTGAGTTATATCCTAAACTCGTGTTTGTATATTGGACATCTTTATATTGGAGATTATGATATGCGTGAATGGTTTGTTGTAGAAATTTTTGTGGATTTAGAACTTATGATATGCGTGTATAGTTTGTTGTGGAAATTTTTGTGGATTTAGAACTTATCGTGAAAATTGAATGTACATATTTCGAATGTTTGTGAAAATTGATTGGATGAGAGATGTTTGTGAAATTTGGAATGTATATATTTCGAGATGTTTTGGAATGTGCAAGAAATGTCGTTGTTTGCAGATTTGTATGTACATGGAACTAATTATAATCAGCAAATTTTTTTTAGCTGCTAATATACATTGCTGACGGGAAACCCGTCAGTGATACTTATCACTGACGGCTTACCGTCAACGATGTATATAACATCACTGACGGGAAGCGATGTATATAACATCGCTGACGGGCATCCCGTCAGCGATGTTATATACATCGCTGACGGGAAGCCGTCAGCCCCGTCAGCGATAATTATCGCTGACGGGTTTCCCGTCAGCGATAGGAAATTATCGTTGACGATATGCCGTCAGCGATACTTATCGCTGATGGCTTACCGTCGGCGGTTGTGGGTTCATCGATGACGAATTGTTGTCAGCAACCCACATCACTGACGGGAGCCCCGTCAGCGATATACATAACATCGCTGATGGGAAAGCCGTCAACTTTTTTGTCGTCAGTAATGTACATTACTGACGGCAATCCGTCAGGGATAATTCTTCCATGACGGGACTATTGCTGATGGCTTATCCTTGACGGGAAGCCGTCAAGGATATTTATCGCCGACGGGGATTTAGGCATTCTTGACGGGAATGCCCGTCAACGATGCCTGGTTTTCCACTAGTGATACTCTAGAATTGGACAATTATTCCCATATGCATGATGCTTCAACTTCGTGAGGACAAATGAATAGTAGTAATTATGAGAAATTATTTGGACAACTATTGTCTTTGCTTTTGATGTTTTGCTCCATATGGTTTGGTTTTGACTCTTTACCTTTCTCATGACTAATGTAGACAGTTTAATTTTTCAATAAAAAATAAATTTTTATGTTCCTCTGGAATAATTTTTCAAGAATAGAACAATTAGAGGTGCGAATTTCTTTCCCTTCAATCTAAGTCATTCAAATTTGTCGAAATTATTCATATTATGGATAATATGAGCATAATAAATCAACTTAAAATTTATAATAACTCAAGTATAATAATTCAATTTTTTGTATATAAATTTTAAAAAATTATGATTTTTGAGTATTTTGAAAATAATAAATGAATAAATCTACGCATTGTGAGGGTTAAAACTAATTACATTGCATTATTTATTACGTACTCATCATCTAATTCTTTTGCTAATTCATAGAGTTTTAGACATTTGACCACTAAGCTTCAATTTATACATCTATATAAATACTACTAAATTAAGACCTTGATTGTACTTGACACGTTTTTAGGAGGAGCCTAAATATTAATTTTCCCTTTCAGTGTCTCCTACCTAATTAGCACATTTCAATTTATTTCTAATTAGACCTTTTGAACTTAAGCTCTTGACCTTTCGATTTCTTAAGAGCATCTGAAGTCTAACATCACAGGTCTGAAGAAAGTATGGATCTAGATATTTATTACTCTTTTATTAAATGAGACCAGCATATATAGTATAAAAGTAATTCTATTAAATGTATATGTAAGCATTGCATGCATAACTTCTCTCCATTTTAACTCAATTACTTTTTCTATTATGATAAAATAAAAATTTTACATTGAATATTTTTAAATAAAGAATTTCCGTAGTATGGCTCGAGTATAACACTAGTATTATTACTATTCTAGCAAATTGTACATATCTACGGAGCATGAAGTACTTTCTCATTTTTGTAGCCATGTATTGGAATCATAATCCTACGCCGAATATCACCAAGAATCATTTCTTATCTTGGCTCAACTAACAGATTTGTTGGATCCGAGAAAGCGCTAGTTTAAAACACACAAGTGTTGTTTTAGTAATTATAGCGATAACAATAGAGATGAGAACATAAATTGATTGTTTTCAATTCATACAACTATTAACAAAATAACCTCTCACAGAATTTTGTGGTTTTTGTTGTAGCACTCATACAACATACAAGTTCCTCCTCTCCATACTTCATTAGTGGAAAGAGATTTCTACCAAACAATCACAACTCTTGAACCTTTAAAGCTCTTCCACAACAAGAAAGTGCTCCACCCACAAACAGACAAGCTTAGTTCAACTTTTCACATGATTGCATTAGTAACAAGTGAAAATGTGGCAATACAAGTGATTCTACTAATGTGTGTCTCACCAAGAACTAAATATTTATGAATCTTACATCAATAAATGCACATCCGAAAATTAAATTCAAGTATGTCACTAATTAAAACGGCACGACTTAGCAGCTGCCAGGTAATACTATTTAAAACTGCACGGTTTAGCAGTTGCCACGTAATACTATTTAAAACTGCACGACTAAGTAGCTGCCACGTAGTGCTAGACTCTGTCATAGAAAAAGATTCAATCACCTAACTCCTATCGCCTAAGTTAATGTATTATTCTGAGGATAGGTTCGTGCATCCTGTAAAAGCAACTCGCTGCCAGTAATATTTTTCAGGAAAATTTTAATAATATCTAGCATTGCTTCTCTAACAAAAGTAATTAGTTCACATAGTTTGTGTTATCCACATGATGTATTCTCACTTATTGTTCTTATTTTTTTGCAAGTATTTGGCCAAAGTAAGCCAAGCCAACTTGTACTTGGTAAAAATACTATCCTCCAATTTCTACTAGTAGTGTGAATGAGCAGTGTCTTTTCAATTGTCCTATATGGGCTTCTCACGTTATAAATAGACATTCCAACCTTCCCTCTCGCTTCACCCACTTTCCTCTACTTTTTTTTGGCTTTTTATTTCTTTCTTGTACTATCAAAATTCTCCCCATCACCAAACTTCAATGGAGGTCAAGCTCATGAAAGCCTCTCTTTCAGCTCTTCACCAACCTCTCTTCAGGGCTACAAGCCTCTGCCATGTATCCTCTCTTTCTTCTTCATCAAATAGGAAATCGTGTTCCCTCCAAACTTCAGCAACTTCTCCTTTCAGGTAACAAACAAACTTGAGGGGGAAAAAAACCCTGTTGGAAAATCCTTGTTTTACTAGGTGATAGTCTGATGGGTGTTTGTTATTGTTTTTGTAATTTTGCAATATTTGTAGTTTGTTATTGCTTGTATTTTTGCAATATTTGTAAACTTGTAAGCGCTTGAGTATTTTAATTTGTTAATTTCTCTTGTTTTAAGTATAAAATAAGCTTAGAATTGCTCTATTTGGATCTCTCCATTTATGCCATGAGGGATCTTGAACTCAAAACATGTTAGTTAAAGCATCCCAGGAATTTGAGGTTTGCCTTTATGAACACAGCACGGGAGCAGTGAAATTTTGGTAGGTAGGTAGTTTCATTGTTCATGTGTCCCACATATAAAAGAAGAGGAGGAAGATATTGGTTGCTGATGTCTTTATTTGCCTAATATATATTAAAAGTCATTTTTGCTACACCAAAAATTTTGAAGTTACGGTTATAGTAACATATCTTTCATTGTATGATGCAATTGGAGCCGTTTAATGTCAACAATCTCCATCTACTTTCAACCCGCTAGAATCCCTTTTTTTAATTCACATTTGGTTTGTCAAAATTTTTATTAAAAGACATGAAGATAAATTAGAATGTTTCTTATATTCTAATAGCCATACAGCTATTTTTATTAGGGGTATTTTTACAAAACCACCCAGAATCATTGGGGGTTTTGCACATTACTCCCTTAACTTTTTTTTCTCACAAGACCCCCATGAACTTTGGGGTGCATTTGTCACATCCCGGAAAGTTGAACTTTTCTCAAGTGACCCGCTAACTGTAATGGGCAAATAACTAATACGTCATTAAGGGGAAAAAAACCCTCAATTGAGGGAAGGGTACGTTGCGCGTCAATGACAAATGACTGTATTGAGTTTCTTTTCCTCTCAATGATATTTTTGTTATTTGTCAGTTATAGGTAGGGTGTCTGATAAGAAAAAGTTTAAAGTCATGGGTGTTTTGTGATATGCCCTAAAGTTATGGGGTTGTGTGAGATTAAAAAAATTTCATGGAGGTTACATGCAAAATCCTACAAATTTCTGTGAGTTATGGGGTTGTGTGAGATTAAAAAAATTTCATGGAGGTTACATGCAAAATCCTACAAATTTCTGTGGGGTTTTTTGAAATCAACGCCTTTTATAACTATAAACAATTTTCTTAAAGAACTGTGGCAAGTGCAAATGGAATTTTATTAAGAAGAAGAAAATATCTTATATATTAAAGATAATAAAAATAGGTTGGGAACCAAGCTGCCCAACATGTTAAATTTGATTCCTCCAAAAAAAAAAAAAAAAATATTACTCACACATGAGTTCCAAACAATAACCCAAATCTGATAAGTTACTCGTTGTGGCATTCGACTGCAGTTACCTGCACATGTTCAAAGAGTACATGAGTATATGATTATGTACTCTTAACTTCTGTATGAAAAGAAGGTCATGATATATTTTACGAATTAAGAAACTTTTCCGGACAAGTATCAACTAATTTTATTTTATTTTTATTTTGAGATTTTGTTATTGAACTCTTATCATATACCATGTGTAGGCATGGAAAAACAAGAACTGATCAGAGTGAGGTGTTGACGTTAGAGAGTATCAGGCACTCTCTCATTAGACAAGAGGATACCATCATATATAGCCTCCTAGAAAGAGCACAATACCACTACAATCGCGATACGTATGATCGAAATGTGTTCTCTGTGGAGGGTTTTGATGGCTCTCTGGTTGAATATATGGTTAGAGAGACAGAAAGGCTGCACGCCCAGGTAATTATGAAAGCTACATTTTTGACATTCCTTTGTTGAGAGTTCTTTTTTTTCTTTCTGAAATTTCTTTTCGCCTAATTATATTCGGTTTGTTTGTCGGAGCTTAGGCTGGGAGATTCAAAAGCCCTGATGAGCATCCCTTCTTCTCTGAAGACCTGCCCGAGCCCCTTCTTCCACCTCTTCACTATCCGCAGGTAATTACTTAGCGCATGAACTTGAGGAGTCATGTTGCTAGTTTCTTCTCAGACACCGAGTACAGCTTCTTCCAACAAAGGGATTTTTGACTATTTATTGAATCAAAAGATTAATGAAGTTTTGATGGGAACTTTTTTTTTTTTTTTGACTCGAGGCGAAAAATAGAGAGTTTAGGGGGTTTTGAATGGTACCATAACAAAAGAAGTATCTCCGAATTTAAACAAATCTAGAGTCAGCAGAGAGGTTTTGAACGGCACGGTTTAAGTCTCTCCCTTTTACATGTCACCTTGATTAAATTTTTTCTTGTGGATTAGGTGTTGCACCCTGTAGCCCGTTCGATTAATATCAACAAGAATATATGGGCGATGTACTTTAGTAATCTGCTTCCGAGGTTGGTCGAAGATGGTGAAGATGGCAACTACGGTTCCACTGCCGTGTGTGACACAATTTGCCTGCAGGTGTGCACATCAAAATCCAATCTATTCTACCTCTCCACAAAAAAATGAACTTTTGTATTTTTCACACTTCAGGCCTTATCAAAGAGAATACACTACGGAAAATTTGTCGCCGAAGCGAAGTTCAGAGAAAATCCTGGTGCCTATGAGAAACCTATAAAAGTCCAAGTAAAACAATTTTCATTTTCAGTCGTCTTCTGCATCCAAATTAAACTTGTACATTATGCGATGTTTCCTAATTAATTCTCTCCTCGTCTGAGTACTCGCAGGACAGCGAAGAGCTCATGAGGATGCTAACATACAAATCGGTAGAAGAGAAGGTGAAGAGGAGGGTGCAAGCAAAGGCTGAAACTTACGGGCAGGAGATCAACATTGGGAAGGAGAAAGATCGTTCTCTTCGCCATTTCAAGATCCAGCCAAGTTTAGTTGCTGAGCTCTATGATGAATGGATCATGCCGCTCACGAAGGAGGTGCAAGTGGAGTATTTGCTTGGCAGGTTAGGCTAAAAATTACGGGGAAACTGAAAATGATGGCAGCTAATCAATAGCCAAGTCGGTCTTCTGTTTTTTTTCTCCCCTTTTATTCCCATTGTTATTATGTTGATCATTGCAAAATTAGGACAGTTTGGTCTAAGATGCTATAGCTTCTTGATCATTATTTTAATTTACAGGAAAGTTTATCTTTATATGCAAATATCAGCGTTTTCTCTAATACCGCCATCTATAATGGGTTAATTACAGAAAGAGTTGTTCTACAGGGACCCCAAATCATGGGAGCCAAAGGGGAACAGGTGAGGTGTCAACCGATATGTGCATGATATATTATTTATGAACAGTAGATCATGCACCCAGGGGTTGACACCTCACCTGTCCTCCTTTGGGTCCCATGATTTGGGGTACCTAAGGAATTTTTCTTACAGAAAATCCTAATGAACTTTTGCAAGGAAGAAAATATATTTTTTAGTCCCAAAAAGTTACCTATTTTTTCGTTTTTAATGAAATGTTTTTGGAACTAAGAAGGAATTTTTGTCTTCTTTTTTTGTCCTGGACTTAGTGAAATTAAAAGGTTCATGGTGGTTATGTGCAATAAGTCATTAAACTCTGGGGTTAGTCGAATAAAAAAGTTTTTTTTAGGGGGGGATGGGGAATTACTGCAACTTCTCAAAAGTTCACATGGGCTTTTGTAATTAACCCTTTATAAATCATAGCAATGGCTACGGTTCATTCTTATTATAATTAACATCATATATCTCATGTGAATCCTTTTTCTTTTTGTTAATTCTGTTTTTTTAATATCAAATCATTTCTCTTAATTAAGTAATAAACAATTATGATTGAAGAATTGGTAAATCTACTGCTTAACAGCCTTGGAGAATTCGAATCCAAATATTTCAGCTCAATATACTACCTAATAATGGCAAAGATTTGAGCATTCTTCCTGAAATTAATGTATATAAAATTAATTGGCAGCAATGAATAGAAACGATTTTATATTGGATTCTCTCAACTCTATGGAGGGCTATAAATTGGAGGGCAGTCTCAAAGATTTTCATCAGCGGTAGCCATGTAAGTAATATATTGCTGATGTGCACATCTTCTTCTGTATCTAGCTACTTGAGGTTCAAAGTTCAATCCCAACTTGCCCATTATGGGAAAGTTCTGTTGAAGTTCAGAATTCAATTCTTTTGGATGGATCATCTTAATTTTATCGGTATACTCTTAGAATGAAAAAATATATACATATTTGTAATAAGGTGAATTTTTTATTAACTAAATGAAGATTCTTTAGGGATTCTACCGAGGGGAGATTAGAAGGTCCTGTGCTTGAGATGTTTGAAGAATGAAAGGAAACTCTATTCAATGCTCCTCTTTCTTCATTTCTTGTAATGTTCACCGCGAATTGGTTTATGTTTATATGACTGTCAAAGAAGTCTCAATCATGTTTGGAGCTAAAAAAAAACAAATACGTGAATATATCATTTATTATGGGCTAAGTTGCAGTTAAATACCCTATAGTTCACCAAGTTTTTTTTAGGCGGCCTCCTTAGGCTGATGGGGCCAACGGGTAAGAAGTGGAGCCCAGTGGAGCTCCCAAGCGCTCCACAAATTTGTGGAGCGCTTGGGAGCTCCTAGGGAAGCTCCCAGTGAATAAAAAACTTTTTTCTACACAAAAACCGCTATCTAGTTAAGAGGAGTTTTTTTGATAGAAGAGGGTTTTTTTTTATATTATTGGAGCTCCTAACTAGGAGTTTGTTGGAGATCAACATTAGTTAAGAGGTCTCTCATGTGATGTGGCATTGAAAATGGTGGGTCATGATCTTGAGAGGTCTTGAGAGCTCTCCAACAAGGACTGTTGTGCGCAGCAGAAATTTCGGCAGAGTTTCTGGTGCACAATAAGAGAGAAAGATCTCAATAAGAATTCTTGTATCTCAAAGGAAACAAGAATCTGAAGCCTAATATCCCATCAAAGTGAGATATTAGCTCTTCTTCTCGTCAGCTCTAGGACTACGCGTCGAGGGATCCTAAAAACTATTACAATGGCCACAAACTCAAACAAACCAATTTTACGTGGTTCGGCAAACTGCCTACGTCCACGGGGTAAGGAGGGGGAGATCTACTAATAGAGAAGAGAATACAAATAGGGTTTACAATCTCTCAAACTAAACCCTCACACAAACTCTCCGATCCCTCACTCAAAATCGGCACAAGTAACTACACAAACTATCTCAAAAGGCCGCCTCTTTTCTTCTGCTCACGACCCCTGCAATGCACACGAAGCCGAAGAAATCTCTCTGCAGAAAAAAAAACTCCTTGCACGCCTTTACCAAAGCCTGCTGCTTGCACCTGTAGCCGCCAACGAAATAAACTTCGTGCCCTCTATGCACCTACCTCCTGCACACCCTAAAAGAAAACATGTTGATATATATAGTACTCTTTTGATTCGGGTGGGCCACAATCATGCGGTTTTGCTTCCGCGTTCAGTCCTATAATTGTAATCACATGTGGTCTTCACGTGTGTCTTGGGTGTTCACGAGAACACCTCACACGGCACACGGAAAGTGCCCCCCACACTCACAATTCTCCACCTCGGCGAAGTTTTCCCAAAACTGAGCCGACACCAACCAAACCAAATATCTCACTTGTTGTGTCCAGTACACCGTGAAATAATTCACGACAACAGACTCAATCCATAACAAGTCGAGAACCCAAATGAGAATGCAAACACTCTCCAAATGTCAGTATCAACTCACCAAATCGATCTCACCCCCATCAAAATCCAAACCCCGCTGCATCGTAAAGACTGCCTACGTATCATCTTGCCCAAGGAATCAAGCCGAACGTAGTTCACCCAAATGGCCTCCAAAGGCCTCAATTCACTAGAAGTGTTCGCAACCCTTCTCCAATATCATCAACTCTGCGGCTGATAGCACCTCCAATGGCCTCAAACACCTCCACCTGAGGTGAATCAATGGTCATATCCAAACTGGATCTATCAGCTGCACTCGAATCAAAACCCAACTCATCATCTGCATCCGAATCCAAATGACTTCCACGCTGTGTCACCTCAGCTGGAATCCCAACCAATGCAGAATGATCTGGAGTAATCTTCACCCGATATGGAGTAGCATCACTCTCCACCCGCTACGATACCTCTAAGGTTTGTCCAAAACTCTCCACCTGCTGAGAGTTAATTGGCTTCCTCATCGAAGCCTCAACCGAAGTGACACTACCAGACCAATCTTCCAATAGAGTTTTACCTCCAATCATAGCAATTGACAACTCTTTAATAGGATAACCCAAATATGTCGATGCCTCAGTTCAGAACCTTTTCTGCAAACCATTGCTCGACCACAAACACCGATCCTCCTCCAGCAAGGCACGGTCATCCAAATTTATCACCCTATCTAGTTGCCCCAAGATTTCCTTTCCAACGAAGTGTCTCGAAATGCCGTGAGCTTTGCTCCAATGCAGAAATAGGTCCATCTTGTACCTCCCACCAGAATGGAGTACCTTCACCTTTCTGTCTATCACACACTTCTTCAATCTGTTGGATACTACTAGGACTTTCTCCAAAGGGGATTTGGTTGCAACCCAAACATGCCTAGAACAGCCACCAACAAAGGAAACCAAACACCTATTACCTCCCAATGATGCCCCCTTGGAAGGCCCCCAAACATCCACGTGAACTCCTCCAGAACGACCCTTAGCACGGTGAATAGAGGTGCCACACTTCACCTTGGTCTTCTTGCTCACATCAACATGTTCACTGGACTTCAAACTGCAGGTCTTCGCACCCTCTTTCAATCTATGCGAGGAATCAATACTGGAATGGCCAAGCCCCAAATGCCGCAGTCTAGACGAATCAATAGAAGTCGTCAGCTCTCCACCTGCCACTATACCTCCAGTCAAATAATACAGATTATTTCTCCTGACGCCCTTCATTAAAATACGAGAGTCTCTCGCAATCTCGAGAACCATGTCCTCAACACGAACCTTCAGACCCTCTCCAACCAAAGCTCCAATCGATATCAAGTTCTTCCTCAAAGAAGGAACATATCTCACATAGTTTAACTCTCTAATAGTCCCGTCAAACATCTTTATGCGAATTCTTCCTATCCCAAGGATCTGGCATGCACGGTTATCAGCCATGTACACCACACCACTATCCACCAGCTTCTCAAAACTGGAGAACCATTCCCTTCTAGGGCACACATGATAGGTCGCACCACTATCCAACATCCATTCAGATTCCTCCGAATAGCTATCTGTAGGACTGATAGAAAGCGAATAAATAGAAGAGTCAGAATTATTACCATCCGATACTATGTTTGCTTCTGATGATGGTTGCTTCCCTTTTCCCTTCTGCTTATTCTTCATCCATTCGTCGAGCGTTGGGCAGTCTTTCTTCCAATGACCAGTCTCCTTGCACCAAGCACACTGATCTTTTCCTACTCTAGACTGTGACTTCTAATTCTTTCGGTTTGGACCCTTCCCTCTTGTGATCAATGGCTCCGCTACCGGCTCAACTGAAGCCTCATTATCCTTCTTTCGAAGCTGATAATTCACAAGTGCAGCGGTGACCTCACTATACGAAAGGGTTGCCTTCCCATTAATCAAAGTAAGGACGAAGGTCTCATATTCCTCGTCAGGCAAGGAACTCAACAACAGCAACGCCTTGTCCCCATCTTCAATCACGACATCCACATTCGCCAAATCCGCAAGAAGCTTAGTGTAGTGGTTCATGTGATCTCTAATTGAGGTTCCATTCTTCAATTGGAAATGATAAAGCCTCCTCTTTAAATGCAAGCGATTTTCCACACTCTTGGTCAAATATTTGCATTCGAGAATCTCCCAAATCTTCTTCGCAGAAGTCTCATTCATCACATCATATTTTAGATCTTGAGTCAAACAAGACCTAATCACACCACACGCCATTCGATTCATCTTTTTCCAAACATTCTCTTCAATCTGATCTGGCTCGCCATCTAACTCCAAGGTATCCTCCAAATTTTGCGCATTCAGCGCATCCAAAACCTCGTATTTCCATAATCCAAACTTGTTTGTGCCATTAAATTTCTCCACATCTATCTTCATAGAGTGGATATTCAGACTTTGAATGGTCTTCGCGCCAGAAGCACCGCCCTCGACACCCGAAGCACCTTCTTTCCCCGACATCTTACGCACCAACGAACGAAGAATAGATCCAAAACTAAAAGATAGAGTCTTTACCAAAAGATCTCACCTTTATCACCAACGAAGCCCTAAACGAGCCTCCAAATTGATCTACTCCTCCAACCAAACCCTAGATCTGGAATCTGGGCTCTGATACCACTTGTTGTGCGGAGCGAAAATTTTGGCAGAGTTTTTGGTGCACAATAAGAGAGAAAGATCTCAATAAGAATTCTTGTATCTCAAAGGAAATAAGAATCTGAAGCCTAATATCCCATCAAAGTGGGATATTACTCTTCCTCTCGTCAGCTCTAGGACTGCACGTCGAGGGATCCTAAAAACTATTACAATGGCTGCAAACTCAAACAAACCAATTTTACGTGGTTTGGCAAACTGCCTACGTCCACAGGGCAATGAGGGGGAGATCTACTAATAGAGGGAAAGAGGATACAAATGAAAGAGAATACAAATAAGGTTTACAATCTCTCAAACTAAACCCTCACACAAACTCTCTGATCCCTCACTCAAAATCGGCACAAGTAACTGCACAAACTATCTCAAAAGGCCTCCTCTTTTCTTCTGCTCACGACCCCTGCAATGCACACGAAACCGAAGAAATCTCTCTGCAAAAAAAAACTCCTTGCACGCCTTTACCAAAGCCTGCCGCTTGCACCTGTAGCCGCCAACAAAATAAACTTTGTGCCCTCTATGCACCTACCTCCTGCACACCCTAAAAGAAAACATGTTGATATATATAGTACTCTTTTGATTCGGGTGGGCCACAATCATGCGGTTTTGCTTCCGCGTTCAGTCCTACAATTGTAATCACATGTGGTCTTCACGTGTGTCTTGGGTGTTCACGAGAACACCTCACACGGCACACGGAAAGTGGCCCCCGCACTCACAAGGACTCCCAACTAGGAGCTTGTTGGAGGTCTTATGATGTTACACAACAGTTTCTTCATTTTAGTGAAGGTGAACTATCCGGTAGATATCTCGGTGTTCCTTCGACCTCTAAAGCTCCATTATGCAGATCGTCTACCTTCTTGTTGAAAGGATGACCAGCAGAGTTAGACAATGATGCAACAAATTCCTGTCCTATGCATTGTTACTACCCATCTTATTTACATTGTTTGCATTTTTTTTTTGTTCCTCAATCTTTTTGTCGGATTTGCTCGGAAAAATGTTAGCCTCCCCAAAGTTCAAGGACGGTTGGACATTGGAGAAAACAAAGAAAAAACAAGATGAAGGTT